AGAGTTAAATATATATATAAATAATTTAACATTTTAATTTTATAATTTATAATATATATATATATATATATATATATATATATAAATCACAAACAGAACAAAATTGCTAAAACTCTAACTCACATTTAAATCTAAATTTTTAATAAAACATACAATAGTATCAGAACACTGAATGTTTACGATTATGTTGTTTACCTTTCCTACATCTGTGGGCCCCGGATGCAGACACACTGAACACGGCAGGTTATCTGGAAACTGAGAGAAAACACAAGCATTTTCAGAAATCACAACACAAACCCACTTCAAGTAAGAGTTTATGTCTGTCAGCACAATTATTGTGCTGTTCTCATTTATAAAAGCGCCCCAGAATGAATTTCACCTCAAAGAAGAAGGGGTATGCGTTGTCCCCGAGTTTGCGCAGGATCTTCTCCTGTACTTTTGTGTGAACGCTGCGTTCCTTGTCCTGCAGAGGAGGATAGACCTGTCGAGAGCACAGGAAGATATCCCTGCGAAACGCCATCCCCAACACATCCATATCATCCCGACCGTACCGGAACGTACAGGACAGCATGACGTAGACTAGAGCAGACGGACACGGGCTTTATTCATCCACACAGGTGTAAAAGCAGCTCCGCACTGCCATCTGTCTGTGAATGAGTCTCACCTTTCTTTCCTGTCACCTGCTCGGGGTCGATCAGCACAACACCGTCTGACACACAGGAGGAAGACAAATCTGTGATTTTAGATTCATTTAACCCAATAAAGTCTACTGTATCATGCAAATTAAGGCCTCTAAATGATCAAAACTTTGCTGTTAAACCTGTTTCACACACAATCTCCTCATGTCTTCTGTCGTCTGATTGATAGTATAAAAATAAAAAATGACAATAACACACTTACTAAAAATATCTGTTTACCTACATGTCATGTGACCAATAAAAGACTTACCAACAGGATCAACGAAATCGCAGTGATCCACGAAATCCCGTTTCCCCATGTAAACGCCCACCTATGACACATCACACACCGTTAACCAATCACTGATGACTAACACTTAACTTATGTCATGTACACAACACAGACATATAATTACACAAAACAGAACTGAAGGACACGATGACACGAAAAATGAACCGAAACAAAAGCGAATGGATGGACAGACACTCACAGATTTGTCTCTGGAGAGTTTCTTGTAGATGACGTGTTTGGGACTCATTAAAGATATGAGTTTTCATCACTTTTTGTTCACATAAATATCAGCCTCTGCAGCAAATTGCATATTTTTGAATAAAAGTGAGCTGTTTTTCCTCCATATTCTCAGTATATCAGACTATATGAGCCGTAAAAGCCTGATGGATCAAAATATGATACTTAACGAAAATGATATTTCAAGATTATTTTTAATATTTTGTCTAAAGGCTCAATAAAACCTTCCATTTCCAAAAATTAGATTTTTCGGACTTATCTCATATATCTTCACAGCGTTAAAATCATTTACAAGGTTTTGCATTGTGGTAAACGGCATTGATTAGATGATTTTATTATTTATTTCTTAAAACATGGTTTCCCAAACTGGGTTTCGCTACCAATCGAGGGTTTATGAGTTAATAAAAAGCTAATAATTGATCGTAAAAAAAATTTCATAAATAATTTAAAATAATAATAATTATTATATATATATATATATACACACACACACATATATACACACACACACAAAATAAAAATAAAAAATGACAATAACACACTTACTAAAAATATCTGTTTACCTACATGTCATGTGACCAATAAAAGACTTACCAACAGGATCAACGAAATCGCAGTGATCCACGAAATCCCGTTTCCCCATGTAAACGCCCACCTATGACACATCACACACCGTTAACCAATCACTGATGACTAACACTTAACTTATGTCATGTACACAACACAGACATATAATTACACAAAACAGAACTGAAGGACACGATGACACGAAAAATGAACCGAAACAAAAGCGAATGGATGGACAGACACTCACAGATTTGTCTCTGGAGAGTTTCTTGTAGATGACGTGTTTGGGACTCATTCTGTCTGCTGAAGCAGAAACACACAATGATGATCAAGAAACACTTCTTACATTTCTGCATTTGGCGGATGCTTTTATCCAAAATGACTTTCATTGAAATTGAACCCATGACCTGCTGTTTGAGCTACAGAGAGGCTATGTGTATGTGAATATTCTAAATATTGAAATCATGCTGTTATGAGTAGTGAATGTGTATCTGTAATCTCTCTCACACACACACACACACACACACACACACTCATCAGCAGTTTCAGCTCTGAGCCGATGACTCACAACACTAATCTACAGTAACAGCTCAACACAAACACAACCACAGGTTTGCTGTCATCTGTCTGTCTATCTATCACCAGGTACTATATTATTACTCTATTATTATTAATAATAATAATTATTATTATCTATTATAATATACTATAATTACTGTATTTATATCATCATCACATTATTACTATTATTTGCTAGATGTCTAATGTTCACTACTTTTAATAAATATTCTTAAAATCTATTATAAAAATAAAGAAATGAATAATAATAGTAATATTTAGCTACCTGTCTATCTGCATAATCACTATATTTGTTATAAGATTTTAATAAAAATTCTAATTCTGCAGACTCGCTTTATTACAAACTATAATAATAATATCTATAATTACTACTATATACTTCTAAAACTCATCTATCCACATAATTACTATATTTGTTATAAGATTTTAATAAAAATTCTAATTCTGTACTCGCTTTATTACAAACTATAATAATATCTATAATTACTACTATATACTTCTAAAACTACATACTTCTAAAATTCTAATACCGACAGCAAATTCATTTTATAAAAAAGCCATAATAATCATCATCATCTTCATAATTACTTCTATACATTTGTTACTTCTAAGATGTCTAATATCCAATTTGACTGAAAATTCTAATATTGGCTGCAGACTCACTTTATTAAAAACTATAAAAAAGTAGTAGTAATAATAATAATAATGATAAAATATCGAATAACTACTGTATATTTATATTTAAATCTATTTCTCCATAAATACTATTATATATGAATTCTAACACTTTAATCAAAATGATAATAATATCTGTGACCACTGTTACTACTATACTTGTTATAAGATGTCTAATGTCCTATTGTAATAAAAAGTCTAAAACTGACTGCAGACTCGCTTGATAAACTATAATAATAATAATAAAAAAGATCTATCACCATATATATATATGTGTGTGTTTCTCTGTCCTTTCTGTTCTTCATATATGAGCTGTGGTGGAGCAGCAGTAACTCACCCGTCTGTTGTCGTGTTGTGTGTGGAGTTACAGTGTGAGTGGACGCTGGTTTTCAGGGCCAGTATTTGTAAGCTGTGACTCCGCCCACTGCTAGCCGTTCGTTCCCCGCGGCTCGGCTCTTTTCCATCGGTGAGATTAGCGTCTCTGGCTTGCAGAGGTAATGAAGATGCACAACTAATCCAATCACACGCGTATAAAGACACTGACAAACATGCAGGAACATCATTCTTATATCACACATGTTAAATAAGCAACAAGAAAGCATACTTAGTATAATAACCTTACACAGATTATGTGGGCTCTGGGGACTGAAGGAGGTTTCTTCGGAAGTGAAGGGTCAGTTATAACTGACCCTTCACCTCCGAAGAAACCTCCTTCAGTATATAGGAGCTATACAGAGCTGGTTCTCAATGTGGATTCTTAGTTTACAAGACTAGTTCAACCACAAATAACAGCTCTGGCATCATTTACTCACCCTCATGTCATTCAAACCAGTATAACTATGTGAGAAACAAAAGGAGATGTTTAGCAGAATGTCTAAGCTTCTGTTTGAAATACAGTGAACGAGTGGCTGTCAGGCTTCATCCATATGATTCATGTTTTACTTTCAAAGTCTTCTGGAAAAAAAAACGAAAAAATCATATTTACAGTGGTGGCCGAAAATGATTAGAACACTAGTATTTTCAGCAGCTAAAAATGGTTTTAAGTCAGTTATTTCTATCTTTTGCTGTAGTGTGTCAGAAGGAAATATCAGTTTAGATTTCTAAACATTCATTTTGCCATTAATTGTAATAATCCAGTGAGATTTTTGTGCTCCACACAGAGATCTGATCTGATCATCATCAGTCTGTCTGAGATTACATGAAGAAACAGAACAAACTGAGACAGACTCAATCCAGAAGAACTGTGTCTCC